CATTTCTCTGTAAACCGACTCTGTACAACCCAAAGCCCCTCTGGTGTCTATATAAACCAGAGGGTTTAGTCTGTAGAGGCAATCATAATCATACAGGTTAGACATTTAGGGTTTAGCCATTACGATCTCGAGGTAGATCAACTCTTGTAACCCCTATGCTCATCAAAGTCAATCAAGCAGGAAGTAAGGTATTACCTCCATTAAGAGGGCCCGAATCTGGGTAAACATCGTGTCCCCTGCCTCCTGTTACCTTCGATCCTCAGACGCACAGTTCGGGACCCCCTATCCGAGATCGGTCGGTTTTGACACCGACACTTTGGTCTTCCAAATACTAAAAAGACCAAAGTATTTTCCTTGAATGCTCATTCGGGATAGGCTCAACACTAGAGAAAGGCTTCCAAGGAATAACTGTATTGCCCTGGATAACGATTGGTGTATCCTGTGCTACAACAATGATGTTGAAAAACAGGATCATCTCATCATCTTATATTTTTCAGTCAAAGACGCTCGAGGAAAACCTCCTTCAACTCGGGAATAACAATGAATTTGCAGACTCTGTCCACTTTGCTAGAGCCATCTTTGCTAGTGTGCTCGTCGTCGAAATTTTCATCATCGTAGCTTGGTGTATTTAGTAAGAGAGAAATGCCAAATCTTTGACAACCTCAGCCCTAGTATTGATTATAGGTTTCACCTTTTCTTTTGAAGGAAATGTCACCTACTTTCCTTTAGACTAAAAGTTGACAAAGCTAATGCTCTTAGAACATGTCTTAGTTCTAGCCCCTTGTATGAGAATATCCGGTGGAAACCACATGGAAATTATGTTTTGAAGTTATGGAAAATTCTGAAGAAAATACAATGTATCTCAGAGAGATGGTGTTCTATACACATGTAAAAATTCGAGTTAAAACACAAATTCATTTATGTGGTACGAAAAGACAGTTCAGCAAATATAGTACCAAATAATAAATGCCACTATTCGTTGTTGAATTTGTTTTTTTTCTTTTGTATGTCTTTTACAGCTTTTGTATACCCCCTTGGGTATACACCCACTTCCTGCTCTTGTAATAGTATTTCCTTTAATAAAAAATATTGTCAGGGCCTTCCCTACAGTTTTCCAGTCAAATAAGAAACACTACTAGATACGCATATTTTGCTGCAATTTTTGTTAACAAATCAACTCGCTTTTTTATATACAACACAACACACAACTGTGGAAGTATTCAAAAGAGTGCAAGTGCGCCTTCCTTTCCGTTAGGTGTATGCAAGCCTTTCTTGTCAACGGATCAGTAATATTTTTGTGGATTTTGAGACTGGTGATTAATAAACTCCCTACCTACCCACTTAACCAGCCCTCATGCAAGCTTCAGCTGATCAGACTGGTGTACGCGTGTATTTTGTGGATTTTAAGACTGGTGTATTCTAATTTGGTTTCTCTCTACATGACTTGGACCCAGTCTAGTCAAGTCTGGTTGCAGATGCAGCTTCCTTGAAACTTCCTCAAATACATTTTGTCATAGGAATCTTAAGCTGTCCAGTTACCTTACGTACACGTGTAACTTTTTTCATGATATTATTTACACATTTAAAACAATACTTCCTCCATCCCATAATATAAGAGCGTTTTTGACACAAAACGCAAAACGCTCTTATATTACGAGATGGAGGGAGTATCATTTTGTGCATTTCCGATTTGAATCGCCGTTCCCCGCCGTTCGTCATCCATTTGTCCATTTAGTAGGAAGTGGTTCACCTAATGTGGAGGTTCAGCGTCCAAAAGCACAAGACAGTATGTATGACCTCTTCTTCTTCAGTAGTGCACACATGACATGGCCACATGTTTTTTAATCAGGCAGTAATGAGGTCAATGGTAAACGTGGACTTTGCTCAGTCTTCGCCACTACCAAATCCAGCTTAATTTTGATATCTTCTTCTTTATCATTTATCATAGATGTCTTGGCAAACAAGCAAGCTACACATGCATGCTTTCATATCTGTACCACACTGGAGTACTTTATTAGTACAGTTTTTACGGGACTTTATTAGTACAGTTAATTAATCATGGCTGTGACATTTTGTCTTCCTATTGTGGTGCCGTTGATGAATCTTTTAGGGCATCTCGAAGGTGGACCCTCGAACCTTCGGTAAGACCTGAGCTGTCCGGACGTAGTTTGTCATATAAGACGGTCCCGCATCGGTCTGGAGTTCGATTTGGATGTCCGTTTTCCCACAAATCATAACCAAGACAAGAGGCTTTGCAGGAGTCTGGACATCCACATGACGAACCAAAAGCCACCACCTATTCTCTCTCTGTTCGGATGGAGGAAGACCTCTTCTATTTTTATTTTTTATTTTTTGTTTTTGCTCTTTGACGGAAGGTTGCTAGCATTTGGTGAAAGCACTATTATTTCACTTTTTTTCTCAAGTGCTACACTTTTTCTTTCTTTCTTAAGTGCTCACAATGGCGAAGGCTGATCACAATTGCGGAAGGCCTTTAGTGGAAGGCACTAGAATTTTGAAGTCACGGTAGCGGAAAGCACTATTGTTACATTTTTATTTCAAGTGCTATACTTTCTTTTCTTTTTTTCAAGTTCTCATACTAGTCTGAGCGATATAATTTTTTTTTTCAAATTTGTTATCAAATGGATCCCAGCAAGGTTGGATGGCCGGCTCCCATATCAATGTCCGGACAGGGTCATGCTGGAGATGCCCTTATCATCTCCAGTTGGAGTATGTCTCCAAACGCAAACCTCAAATGAACATCATCATCTGTCCACGGATACGCTGGATGTGTCCGCGGACAACTGAGCGGACGCCGGTCATCCAAGACTATCATCTAAAAATCCCCTACTTATTCGCCCCTCCTTCACCTCTTTCTTTCCACTAAGTCAAATTGCTTCGATGCTCAACATTCAATAGAAAATCAACCATACATGTAACACTTGCAAACAAAAGTAACCAAAATCATAAGCACATGATGTTCAACAAGGTCCATAATTCGGGTCCACCAAGAAAGCAACTAAACAAAATGAATCATTGCCCACCGCCATTTCCATAACATGCAATGATGTCTAGTGGCGAAGCCATGTTTAAGCTATGTAGTCAAATGACTACACAGCTTTGTGGAAAAATTATCATATATAAGGTAAAAAATGATACAAAATTTGTAGAAATACATATATCTTGGCTACACAAAATTGTGTGGACTACCCATGAGTAAAATCCTGGCACCGCCACTGATGATGTCTATGCAATTGATGAATCCACCCCACCGCATAGGCATGTACAGTCACCGGTCTTCATCGTACATGAAACTTGGACTTCACACATTTGTTAAGTGCAATTAGCTTCTTCTCCTCTAGGTCAAACTTCTTTTCTTGCATTGGCATGAACTCTATAAACCTCTCCTCCTTGAGCCTCCTTCTTGCCCATGATGTCATCCCACTTCTTCGACAATTTGGCTGCCACCCCATTGCGCTCTTCCTGATCATGCTCCAACTTTTCCCTCTCGACCTCGACACATGGGTGGCCGGTGCAAGCCCTCCTCTAGCTCCACTGCCATTGAACTTGATCCAACAATAATGCATCATGGATGGATGCCCTAGTTCTTCTTGTACAGAATCATCGTGAGGTTGGGTTAGGAAAATGAAAACAATCACATGATCAAAACATTGCAACATAGAGCAAGAGAATGCGCATGCACACAACACATAAAGCAAATGAAACAAATCTTGCAAGACCGTCGAGTCCCATGCCACTTGGTGCCTGATTTTGTATTAATTTGTGCATAAGCACCACATAATTCTTGGCGGGTTATTGAATGGCATACTACCGTTGGTTGAGTGACATGTCATTCCATTCAAGAATCATTTCCGCATTATACGTCGAGTAGTCCTTGTTGTCATGAAAAAACCTCGTGCGCCCTCCTCCGAAATGTCGCTCCATTTGCTTCACACCGGCAAACGGGTCAATGCTTGTGCCCGACTAAGCCAAGCACAACAACTCATCCTCCTTGTCGAGTAGGTGCCTCCTATCTTTTTATTTGATCACACATCGGCCGTCGGCGAGTATTGATCCTCCACTCCTCCAAATTCTCCACATTCGGCACCGAGACGGTGTACGCGGGCGATGGCGATGGTGACACATCGAAGATGTTGATTGTCGGGTCGGAGAGATCCTTTGCGCCAACATTGAGGTTGGACATGTGAAGAAAGGGGGTGTGTGAAAAATGAAGGGGTCCGGGAGGGTGTTTTCGATGATCCTGTTAAAGTCGGGCATGATAGATGTCGGATTCCCCAACTCCGCTCCTCGATTCGGGACCGGGCGGGAGGATTCTCTACGTTCGGATGTGTCCACCCCAAAGGAAGGATCCGCGTTGAATCTAGTCCAAAAATTTGAGGCCGGAGTAAGCACCTGCATTGGAGATGTCATAATCATTCGGTGCATCCCTCTTGCTTGGAATTTTGGAATCCATATGAAATCGACTGATTAGGTAAAACAGAATGTATGTATCTGCAGATATCATGTGTCCAAATCAAAATCGGATTCTTGCCGATTTGGCCATAAATGGTTATATCTATATCTATCTATACTAATATAAAAAGATTTAAATGTGCATATCCAACTAATCTAGACCATCGAACTAAGTCAATCCAACGACCTATACTGCTCCAATGGCGAGCGTTAACGTGCAATTAATATCATATCAAATATTACATTAATCACAAAATTAACACACAAATAATAGCATATTTAATATTCATGTGCAATTAATATATTTTCTAAATATTAATGTGCGTTACACATGTGCATTTACTAATACTAGATATGAAAAGGTCCGAATTTTGGAGTGCCACCAACCAACCCAGTCACAATCAGTAATTTACCCACCCCACGGGCTATAAATCTCTTTCAAATTTTGTGATCTAGTGTCCGGCCTGCAGCTACAAAGCAAACCTGCAACGACGGACCAAATCTTTTCTTATCCCCAATCCACCATCACCATGCCGTCGCGGTCGCCGTCCCCGATGGTGCGCGTCGTCTCGTCGTCCACGGTGAAGCCGCCGCCGCGGCCGAGGGAGCGCATCCCGCTCACCTCCTGGGACGCCTCCATGCTCTCCTCCAACTACATCCAGAAGGGCCTCCTCTTCCACAGGCCCACCTCCTCGGCGTTCAACGCCGCCGACCACCTCGCCGCGGTACTCGGCGACGCGCTCGCCCACTACTACCCCATCGCCGGCCGCTTCGCCACGGAGCAGCACAGGGATGACGCCGGGAACGTCGTGGGGTGCTCCGTCCACGTCGACTGCGCCGGCCAGGGCGTGGAGGTCGTGCACGCCGTGGCCGACGGGGTGACCATGGCGGACGTGCTCCCCCGCGACGCCGACGTGCCGCGCGGCGTGCTGGCGCAGTTCTTCCAGCTCACCGACGCCGTCAACTACGGCGGCCAGGAGCAGCCGCTGTTCGCCGTCCAGGTCACCGACCTCGCCGACGGGGTCTTCGTCGGCTTCGCCTACAACCACGCGCTCTCCGACGGCACCGCCTTCTGGGACTTCGTCAACTACTGGGCCGCCCTCGCGCGCACCAGGCTCGGCCTCGCCGCAGCGCCCCCGGCGCCGAAGCCCTCGTTCGAGCGCTGGTCGCCCGACGGCGGCCCGGCGGGGCCAGCGGTGCTGCCGTGCGCCGACGTGTCCGAGCTCATCGAGCGGGCGCCCCCGCTGCAGCTGCACGAACGGATGCTGCACTTCTCGGCCGACTCGCTGGCAGCTCTCAAGGAGCGGGCGCGTGAGGAGCTCCTGGCCGCCGGCGACACGGCGGGCGCGGCCGCACTAACCAAGTTCCAGGCGCTGTCGTCCCTCCTCTGGCGCTGCATCACCCGCGCGCGGCGGATGGCGCCGGAGCAGGAGACGACGTGCCGCGCGGCCATCAACAACCGCGGGCGCCTCCGGCCGCAGCTCCCGCAGGACTACTTCGGCAACACCATCTACGCCATCGGCACCGACTCAACGCGCGCCGCGGACCTGCTCGACCGCGGGCACGGCTGGGCGGCGGCGGCCGTGGGGCGGGCCGTGGCGGCGCACACGGACGCGTCCATCAGGGCGCGCGTGGCGGCGTGGACCGCCAAGCCCATGGTGTACACGCACCGCTTCTTCGACCCGACAGGCACCATGATGGGGAGCTCGCCGCGGTTCGACATGTACGGCTGCGACTTCGGATGGGGGAGCCCCGTGGCGGCGCGCAGTGGCATGGCCAACAAGTTCGACGGCAAGACGTCGTTGTACCCCGGCCACGAGGGCGGCGGTAGCATCGATGCCGAGCTCACGTTGTCGCTAGAGAACATGGCCGCGCTCGAGGAGGACGTGGAGTTCTGGGCCGCCGTGTCCCCGGACACACCCGTGCCGGCGCCGGTGCCGGAGAAGAAGCCCACTTGAATCTTCTATGCATGTCAACACTCTGCTCTGATACTGCTTGCCAATTTTTCTCTTTTTTTATGTTTGCTTGACACAACAGTAACATGTTCTAATTCTTGGCTTTGAATGACAACAAGTGAAAATTAAAGAAATTGTTGAGTATTATAATTTTCTCTCTGATACAAACAAGAAAAAAAGAATGATATTTGGGACATGTAGTCAAACCTACATTTATGTGAGCAACCCACTACTGCTTATATTGCTAATCAATAGGCTTAATGCACATGAGACTGGGATCTAGCTAGGGGAATAAGATGAACACAAAAGAACTAATTTCAGAGAGGGGAAACTAGATACTGAAATTGGGGACACAAGAGATTGATCCTTCTCATGCAGCTGAATCTATAGAGTTTAGATTCGATGGAAATTGAATTGTCTTTTTTTTAACATCAGTGTAGACACAAGCGCTCATATACATGCGTATACACCCACCCCTATAAATGCACACCCTATCTCTATGAGCACTTCCGAGACTTGAAACCTGATGGACCTACGTGCCTCGTTTATCGGGCTTCCCCTATAACCTCATGTATATGTTGTACCTCTTGTAACCGAAGCAACACTGAGAAGTGAATTCCATGGTTCAACTTGGTATCAAGACTCCAGGCTATTGCCATGTCGGTCCAACAGTCCTCCTCCTCTGTGGTGATCCGCTCCGCCACCTTCCCGGCCTCCTTGTCCTTGACAACCCCCGCCTCCGGCGCCTCTGTCCGCCATCGTGGGCACCTTCTCTGCCACTGCCGTCGGCACCCCTCACCGTGCTTCATCTTTGGAACTAAACCCTCTCTCCTCAATGGAACAAACCCAACCCACAACACTCAGTTTGCCCCTCTTTTCTCCTCCGCTGCCACCGCCACCACCAGCGCCACCCTCTGCCATGCCGCTTCTCAACGGGCTTAGAGAGTCGTCACGTTTGTCATGCCACTTCTCAACTCGCTTGACCTTGTCCTTGCGGGGGATGTACACACACCTGACCTTGTGCCCCTTCCGCGCCTTTGTCAAGGTCAACCACAGTCAACCAACCCTCCCCCCTCCCCCCTTCTCTGTTGTCCCCAACTAAGATGAACATGCGGTCGCCTCCTGCATGAAGGCTAAGTCATGGTGGACCCCGACGTGCGTGGGTGTACCCCGTTGTTGCGGAAACGAGGGCCGACAACGACGCGTCAACGTCGTGGTCACATACGTCACCACCAGAGATGTTATGGAGCCTAACTATTATACACTCCATCTCTCTCTTTTCTCACCGTCGCATGGGTGTTTGCCTGACAACTATACTGCTCTGAAGCCACCTACTTTCTTCCCAAGTCGAGAGACATAGATGAGCTAGGTTTTTTTAGAACTCATAGATTTTTTTAGGGGTCTTGAGAACTCATAGATGAGCTAGCTATTTAACACCTGCAAGCCACCGGAGAAGGTTGTGTGTGAGTGGGCCGAGAAGTAGGCCCACAAGTTAAAGTCTTTCTTTGGCCCATTGTTGACACTCTTCAAGGGGAGATCCTATACGGTGCGTGCCGCACTGGGGCATGCAACGCGCCCCCCTTGCTCCCCCAACGTGACCTTTTGGGGCGGCACATGAGCGGGGCGCTCTGTTTTTTAATATATATTTTTCATTTTTCATTTTCTTATTTTAAATAATTTGAGATTTCAAAATGTTTGGAAATTTAAAAATGTCCTATTTAAAAAAATGTTAAGGCATTGATAAATTGTTCATGGACTGAAAACATGTCCATGATTTTACAAAGAATGTTCGCATATTCTGAAAATGTTGGCGGATTAAAAAAAACATGATTTTACAAAAAGTGTTCGCATATTCAAAAAGTATTCATGATTTTGAAAAAATGTTTGTGTACTCAAAACAAATTATGAAAATGAAAAAATGTTTGCAAATTCAATTTTTTCATGAATTGTTTTCAAAATGCTTACAATATTAAAAAAATTGTTCATGAATTACCAAAAAAAACTTTGATTCCAAAAATGCTTGCTGATTCAAAAAATCTTCACATATTCGAAGAATGTTTATAAAAAAAAGTTCACAGATTTTCAAAAAAGTTCATCAAACTTTAGAAAAAGTTCACCTATTTGGAAAAAAAGTTCATAAATTTTTTTAAAAATATTATCGATTTTGAAAAAAACATCTACTTTCAAGGAAAATGTTCATGAATTTGGAAATAAGTTCATCGATTTTGAAAAAGTCATCTACTTTCGAGGAAAAAATCACTAATTTCTTTCGCAAAAAAAATTGAATTTGAAAAAAAAGGAAGAAAAACGAACAGAGAAAAAAGAAGGTGGGCGAATCGATTGCTGCATCTGGGGATTTGGTTTTGGTGGATCCATCCATGGGGCGGGGCAACCTTTGGATTTCTATTTGATTTCTTGGATTTCTTGGATTTCTTGCCTGGAGCTTAGAGCCTTAATTAGATTATTATTACAGTCTCATCTGGTACTGATATGGTTAAGGCCGATGATATAAACATGCTCGTCCATTGCTGCCAATTCTGATAATTGTCTCCCAACTCAATAATCGTTTGCCACAACTTGTGGTAACCCTTGTTAAGATTTTGATTAACAGTGCATTACCATTCTGCAGCCTTTTCAATTCTTTGACATCATACGTGTAAATACATAAGTTCCAGCAAAACATTGGTACTGTTCCAGCAAAAATGACATGTTCATGACAAAAACATTCTTCTGCTTCCAGCAGAAAATTACATGCTTCCAGCAAAAACGTGATATGGTTCCAAACTGCAGTCGCCGCTCTGGTATTTTAGGGACTCAGAGAGAGAAAGAGAACGGCAGTGGGGATGAGCTGGATTAGATACTCGCGGGGGTCAGGGTGGGGATAAGGTTTGTGTGGCCAACCTTGCTGCATTGGCCAAACGGTCACGTGGGCGAGTTGCATTATAACCGTACGATGGTGTTTAATCCTTACTGCATTGGCCAAACGGTCACGTGGGCGAGTTGCATTATAACCGTACGATGGTGTTTAATCCCATGCACGCGGCGCAGCGGTTCGGCCGGCGGGCTGGCACCAAACGTTTTCCATAAAAAAAAATCTCTAACTTAAGGGAAACCAATTGATTTCCTCATTTTTTTGACAATTAATTGATTTCCTTTTAATTGTATAGTAAGAGACTCGAAAGTGGAGACCTCGGCTGCAACCAAACCCTCGCGATGTCCGGCGGTCGATGCGGCGGCGGGCCTCCCG